AAATTTTAAGTTGGTCTATAAAATGATTCCTTGAAAAGAACATCAAACAGGTGGAATTATCCAATGCTGACCTATGCATGGACAGATGAGTTTTAAAAATTTCAAGATCTGCATATTCCTAAATCATGACTCATGAACTTTAAAAACTGTATGCCCTTTCCAGCTGTGTATTAATTTTAATCTACTGCTAAGGGGTAGCTGTAGAATTCATATAACCTAGTATTTGTGCTTTGCCGATTTAAATATTTCAGTTCCTGGAAAGCCAACTACATCGTTCATCTACATCATTTTATTCTTAGAACAGTATTATTTAATAATACATATACACACAGCTTTATACTTTCACATAACCTATGCCATCTAGTCTTCAAAACAGTCCCATGAGGTCATATTATTTCTCCATTTTTTTCTCCTCTCATTTCTTGGGCATAGTTATTTAAAGATCGTAAATGGGGACCAGCAGATGACATGATGGTTATGTTGCTGGACTCCCATGCACAATCACAGTTTGAGTCCCAGATCCAGCAGCTTAAACTCATGCCAGGCATGTGTGCATACACGCCCAAAATCCTGAAAGGAGAATGGAGAAGGGATTGTAGTCTGGTTGTCACCCCTGGCGGTGGCGGGGGAGTGATTTCTTGCTTTCTGTCTGTCTCCTTGGCAAGTGCATGTGCCCTATAACAAAAATCTCTCTAAAAAATAAGATCATAAATGATTAATCCAAAGTCTAGAGAATTTAGTAACAACAAAAAGAGTAAATATTAAAACACCATTCTATTAAAATAGAAAATATTTATTTTGAGAAATGGGTCTATTATCCAGGATAATCATTTCATGACACAAAAATTAAGAAAATATTAAGAGAATATATATATTTGGACTATTCACAAACCCATACATTGGTAAAGACTACCAAAGGTATAAAATCCATAACTAAATTACTAAATGAATTAAAGACCACTACACTGTGACTAAAAGTTGTATCATAGCCTCTGTTTCCTCTATTGAGCTATCCTGATATTTACCATTTACACCAAGTGAACGAAACCATTCTATTTTCACTAATTAGGCCACCTTTTAAAAACAAATACATCTTGATCAGATTTAAATAATACAAAATGCTACTATCTGGTTTGATTTTTTTTTTAAGCAAAAGGACTAAACTTGGGTAATGGTAGCATGGAAATTATACAAAGAGTCTTTATGATCATGCTTTCTTTAGCCAGGGTGAACATGGCTTAGGTGATAAAAGCTAAAGGTTGAAGTATAAGCAAGTAGAGGTTCATGTTGCCTACATCTAAGAGAACTTTGTTCCTCATAACTATGCCAATTATGATGCCACTGATTCACAAGGGGTTTAAATTAATTCTGTGGGGTAGGATACCAAAATTATTAGTGTTCATTGTTCTTTGTCCTATTAAAATATTTCAATATATAAAAATACCGTAATGTTAATACACAAAGGAAAAAAACATTGTCATTCATATGCTGGTCATTAATGATGAGTGTGGCACAATTTTTAAAAATAAATTATCATGCACTTCAAAAAAAAACACTACCATCTTTCATATTCACTGTCTTAGACTTGTCTATGTAACAAATCAAGGAAACACAACTTCTAGGTACAAACACAGTGGAAATATAAGACTTTCTGATGCTCTAAATAAACATGCAGCTTTAAGATAAAATTAGTAGACTTAACAAATCCACATTTACCTCTGACATAGAAAGTGACTGCAACGTACCAATATGTGCATACAGTGAACAGAAATAATTCCTATAAACACAAGGCTGATGGGTCCAAGCTGTGGGAAAGAAAATTGATAAGGGTTAACTATTTAAGGTGAACAAAAATTGAGTAACGTTTTAAGCAATGAGTCAAAAAGACCACTCATTTGCAGTGAATAAATATTTGTTGGACAAAATAGTAGTCGTCTGCATAAGGGGAAAGTAATAAACTGGATGCAGAAACAAATTCCAAGTAATATTTAAGACAATCACCTTTCCAGCTTAGCTACCTGAGCTTGTGAATATACAGTAAAGACACACAACTAAGTAGCTTAGAATCACAACATCACATTTAACATCAGATGGCAAGACTACAGTTATCATTGTCTCACCAATATAACTACAAGCAACTACTCGTCTTTATCTAAATGAACAAAAAAAGATACGATTTCAAACTAGGTTGTGGGTAATTCACTTCTATAGACCATTCATCGAAGACTGAGTCAGAAATTGTGCTTAGAAAAATCATTTCAAATAATGGTACATGATAAATTTCAAATATTTCAAATAAAATTGATGCCTAGATTATCAATACACAATGAAAATATTGCCAAAGTTTATTTTTATCATCACAAGTTTTCTGTTTGTTTGTTTTTTGCTGTAGAGTGCATGTACTCTCTGGAGAGACAGAGAAAGACAGAGAGACAGAAAGCGAGAAATCATCCCCTGGGCAAATGGCCACACTGTAATCCCTTTTCCTTCATTCTTCTCTTGGGATTTTGGGCATACACACACACACATGCCCAGCGTAAGTCTGAAGCCACTGGGCCCAGGACTTGAATCCCAGTCACCTATGTGACAGTCCAGCAATATAACCATTATGCCACCTGCTAGCCCCATTACCATCAGAAATTTTTAAGTCACTCTAAATTGGCATGAATGAAACAGTCAACTCAGAGAAAGAAACCTAAACCTCTATTTTTCTAAGCTGGTCCACTAGGTTAAATGTAATTTTATTACTTAATAAATAAATTCAATCTTCCTTATCAAAGTTCTCTGTGATCAAAATAATTATAATAATTACCTGTAACAATTCTTTAAATATTTACTTTTTAAAAATATTGCTACTCCTTATCTATTATTCTTAAAATGTGAAACTACAATTTTTATTGAGTCAAAAAAACTATAAAATTTCACTATAAAAAACCTTATCTATAAATATGTTTCTTATTATGAACATGCTGCTTAAATCTCTAAAAATTCAAAAAGTAAGCTATAACCATACCTAAAAAAATCAAATACTAGGATCAGCATATGGCAAAATGGTTATAACATTGGACTCCCACAGAGTCACCCCCAATTTGAGTCCCAGACTTGGCAGCTTAAATTTCACACCAGACACGTGTGTGTGCATGCCCAAAATCCCAAGAAGAGAATGGAGAAAGAATTATGGTGTGGTCATCCACCTTAGCGAGAAATCATCCCCTGGGCAAATGGCCACACTGTAATCCCTTTTCCTTCATTCTTCTCTTGGGATTTTGGGCATACACACACACACATGCCCAGCGTAAGTCTGAAGCCACTGGGCCCAGGACTTGAATCCCAGTCACCTATGTGACAGTCCAGCAATATAACCATTATGCCACCTGCTAGCCCCATTACCATCAGAAATTTTTAAGTCACTCTAAATTGGCATGAATGAAACAGTCAACTCAGAGAAAGAAACCTAAACCTCTATTTTTCTAAGCTGGTCCACTAGGTTAAATGTAATTTTATTACTTAATAAATAAATTCAATCTTCCTTATCAAAGTTCTCTGTGATCAAAATAATTATAATAATTACCTGTAACAATTCTTTAAATATTTACTTTTTAAAAATATTGCTACTCCTTATCTATTATTCTTAAAATGTGAAACTACAATTTTTATTGAGTCAAAAAAACTATAAAATTTCACTATAAAAAACCTTATCTATAAATATGTTTCTTATTATGAACATGCTGCTTAAATCTCTAAAAATTCAAAAAGTAAGCTATAACCATACCTAAAAAAATCAAATACTAGGATCAGCATATGGCAAAATGGTTATAACATTGGACTCCCACAGAGTCACCCCCAATTTGAGTCCCAGACTTGGCAGCTTAAATTTCACACCAGACACGTGTGTGTGCATGCCCAAAATCCCAAGAAGAGAATGGAGAAAGAATTATGGTGTGGTCATCCACCTTAGGGGATGATTTTTCACTTTCTGTCTCTCTGTCTTTCCAGCAAGCACATGCGCCCTTATAGCAAAAATCTCTCTCAAAAACGACAACAACAAAAAAATACACAAATACTGCTTTAGGTTTGGCAGATTTTTGTTGTTGTTCATATTACAATTAAATAATTAAGTAAAAATGAAAAAAGTAATTAATTTTATTTTTTTTGTTAGGTATCATTATCATAGTTCACATAATTTTACTGATACCACAGCTAAATGATCATCTAAATGTCACCTGACTATGCTGTATTTAACCAGGCTAGACATTAGCTTACAATACTTTTTTCTGTAAATTAGACTGGTAACTATATTTTAACGAGAGACTACAAAGACACATCTTACCACTATGCCTGCGTTTTTTATTGCCAGTGGAAGTCCTAACAGGCCAGTTCCAATATTTCCCTTAAGAAGATGCATAAGAGTCTGTACAAATCTGAAAATTAAAAGTTGTAAGATTAAAGCATTTTAGAACAAAAGTTATTGAAATCACATGATCATAGTTTTAGTATTACAAGGGAACTGAAAATTTATCTAGAAACCAATAACATTTCCATTCCACCATTGGGTCAAGAGTCATTATTGGTTCAAGACCTATAACTGCTACTTAAAAGTGGAGTAGAGTTACTATGGAGATTAAATGAGATAGTCAAGTGAAAGTGCTGTTGTACACAGTAAAGTACTAAGAAAAGAAAGGATAATTTTCTCCTAAGATAATTAGATGCTATGATTTTCAGAACAATGTTATACTCTTTCCTGATCAATTTGAATTCATGTTACTCTGCTTAACCATTAGATTACAATTATGATAATTTGTGGGACCAGCAGTTAGTGTAATAGCTATGTGGCTGGACTCCCATGTAGTCGACCGCGGTTTGTGTCCTGGATTCGGTGGCTTAAAACTCATGCCAGGCGTGTGTGTGTGCATGCCCAAGATCCCAAGAGGAGAAGGGATTGTGGCGTGGCCATCCCCCCTGGGGGGGGATTTCTCACTTTCTGTCTTTCTGTCTCTCTCTGTCTGGTGAGTGCACGTGCCCTTATCACAAAAACCTCTCAAAAAAAAAAACTATTATGATAATTTGTATTATTAATACAAATCTACTGAGGATGACAGATGTCAAAAGAAGTTTTTAAAAAGTTCTGATTCTTTTTGTATCTCCATAGCTGTTTCATACTATTCACTTTCCATAAAGAAGCATTTACCACTTTCCATACAAAATATAAATTGAGTAAAAAAAAAAAAAAAACAAGAAAAAGAGATGTATAAACTGTAACACTTACGAAATGCCCTTCTGATCATCAAGTTGGTAATGCTTCTGAACCGGCAGTAGCTCTTGCTCGTGCTCTTCATCTGATGTCCCATCGAAGTTCTGCTCATTTATCAAGGGCCTCATGACATCCATATCTTAGACAAAGAAAAGCAAAGTACTTCACTATTGTATTAAAAACTGGGCTAAAACTAGTAAAAATGAGTTTTAAAGCAGTAATACCACTTGACTCATCTGTATCTCATAATGACCATTATGCCATTAAGTTAATTCACATTATTACCTTGAGTGTTAGGAAACTTAAAAAGGAAATAAGGGCCAGCCCCATGGACAGTGGTTAAGGGAGCTAGATCCTACATGATTAACAATAGTTCAAATCCTGGCCCTGGTGGCTTGAAAAACACATGAGGCTTTGGAGTATATATGCCCAAAATCCTGACAGGAAGGAGGAATGGAGGAAAAAGGACTGCAGTGGACACTCTCATTGGGAGAGTGCTTTCTCCACTCCCACCCCCATTTGTGTCTCTCTCTGGAAAGCACATGTGCCCTCTGCCAATTAAAAAAAAAATTTAGGGGCTGGCAGGTGGCGAGGTGGTTGGGGGTGCTGAGTTCCCATATGGCTGACCGTGGTTCAAGTCCCAGACCTGGCAGTTTGCTTTAAAAAAAGAAAAAAGCCATTTAATTGTGTCTTTGAAGGTAAATAATACGTGGATCTCTCTCTGTTTCTGTCTGGTAAAATTTAAAAATAATAACAATAAATGGAATTAAATAAATAATTTTTTTAAATCTAGAGTTTATTTGCTAGACGTTCTATCTGATTTAATCAGAGCAAAGTACAATGTTTAAGTACCTAATGCAAACCTTTTTCAGCTTTGTTGCATAAGGTTTATAGTAAATGATCATAAAATTGTGAAATGAGAAATGCAAGATAAAAAATTTATTTTCATCTTGGTTTGCTTCAAATCACACTAAGCAAACAGTAATCAGGAAAAGCTGTACAAATATTTAAATTCTCATTATCAAAATTTTCCCTTTTATCTAACAATTTTAGCAAGATTTTCCTCCTTTCAGGGACAAAGACAACACTAATCAACATTGTCTTGTCCTAGTAAAATTCACTAAATTTATATTTATTGAGATGAATTATGCATTAGTAAAGTCTGAAATACAGAATATTAAAAAGAAAGTTTGTTTCCTCCAAGTACATATAATAAACCTATTGAACAAGGAACTGAAATAATTAAATGACTTAGTTGGGAAATGACTAATTTATGTATAACTTTTTAACTTTTTATTTTAGAATAAATTCAAATTATAATAAGTTAAAGAATAGTTTTAAAAAAGGTATTGTTTATAAACTAATTTTTAACAGTTTGATAACTTTGCTTTTTCTTCCTCTCAAAAATATGTCACTTTTTATAAACTACTGGAGAACAGGTTACATATATCATGCACGGTATATATGGTGGTGACACAAGTGGTGGTGGTGACACAAGTGGTGATGGTGACACATTCCTAAGACAAGGTCTTAGGAATGTTGTCTTGAATATACATAATATAGTTACCAAATGGGTTGTTAAATTGGTGCAATAACTTATATTTATATAATTTATATTTCATATTCAATTTTATTCTATTGAAATCAATAATATCCTACTAATAACTTTTTTAGTTCGAGATGACATATTACATTTAATTAAGTTATTCTACTGCCATTATACCTTTTATAATGTCTGTAACCCTCTTTTTTTTCACTTAGTTTTTTACTATCATATTTGACAGTTTTTTGTTTAGTTTTCCCTTGTTTTTAATGGCAGAGGGTGCATGCACTCACTAGAAAGACTGGGGGAGGGACCGGGAGAATGCACTTCCTAGTGGAACATGATCATGCCGCAATCCCTCCTCCTCTATTTCTCCATCATGTTGGAATTTGAGACACGCACACACATACACGCACACCCATTATGTTTCTCAAGCTGCAGGGGCAAGATTCAAACAGTGATCAGTCATTTGGGATCCAGCTCCCAAGGAGGAGGCCTGAGGAACAGCCCTTCTTGACAGTTTTAAATGGTATCCTTTGTCTTCTACATATCATCTGTATTACAATTGTCTTATTCTACTTTCTTCTGTCTCTGTCCCTTATTTTTTCATTTTTCAGATGTACTCTTTCTACTTTTGAAATATTTATGTTTCACATAGTGTTTTTCTAATATCTCTACCCATGTGTTAGACTTACATCAATAATCAATATCACCACCTGCCACCAAATGTCTCCCAATCATCTACTGGCTGGCTGAAGTTCTTCTTTTTACAGGATTTGCACCAGAATGACTTTTAAGTATTGCTTGCTAAAACACACATTGATGTGCTATACCTCAAGATTACAGATTCAGTAGGTCTGAGGTAGGCCTGAGAACATGTATTTCTAACAAATTTCCAGCTAATGCTGAGCTTGCTGGTCTGGGGAATCACACAGAGAACTACTGCTCCAGCAGCTTCTTTAGGAATAGTTCATGGACACAGCATTCCATGAGTTTTGCATATTTTAAAATGTTTTTCTATACCCTGAATACTTGAAGAATAGAGATCATTGGCTTACACTTTTTTGTCCTTAAGCTTCTTGAAAATGTCCCTCCTTTCTTACCTTGCTTTTGTATGCTACTCTTGAAAAGTCTGATGCCAGATCAATTTTCTCAGCCATTAAGTAATTTATCATTTTGGTTGAAGGTACTGAGGATTTTTTCCTTTGTCTTTAAATTTCATAGCTTTACTAGAATATTTCTTGAGATAGATAATTTTGAATCAATTTTCCCAGAGATACACTAAGCCTCTTTAATTAGGTTGATTTAGGTTTTCCTTTATATATGGAAAGTTTTATTGGATTGTAGTTTTATATATGTTTGGTTCCAACATGTTTGTTCATCTATTTGAGAGTCCAATTACAAGCATGTTGGATCTTCTTTGATAACCTTCCATTTCAACCACTTTCTAAAACTTTTGATGTCTTTCTTTACCTCATTTCATTCTTTTTATCTTTCTTCAATGACTCAGGAAACCTCCATTTCAACATATTCTTAGTTGGATAACCAGTAATTTATTCTTTGTTTGTGATTTTTCCCCCTTTTCTTAAGGGTTTCATGCACAGCAATCCTAGTTATAAGGTATTCTCTTCTGTCAGTAAAGTTCAGTTTGTTTCATGGATGATGTGGAGTTGTTAGGGGTGAACAAGAGTAACTGACTTGTCTTCCAGTTCTCTTCCACTTCTATCAGATCTTCAATTTTCCTTCATTATTTCCTTTTTCCCTTCATTGTCAAGTATCTTGGGGCATCTCCACTGTTTTATTCATTTCTCTCTTCTGGACACAATAATTTTTATTTTGAGAGGTGTTTTTTGTTGTTGTTCTTGTTTGTTTGTTTTTGCTATAGGGTGCATGCTCTTGCCAGAGAGACAGACAGACAGAAAGCGAGAAATCACCCCCCAGGGGGGATGGACACACTGCAATCCCTTCTCTTCCATTCTCTTCTCGGGATCTTGGACACACATGCACACGCACCCAGTGTGAGTTTAAGCCACTGATTCTAGCACTCAAACCACAGTCAACTTCATGGGAGTCCAGCAACATAGCCATGGTCCCCAGACACAATTTTTTTTTTTTTTGAGAGGTTTTTGCTACAGGGCGCGTGTGCTCGCCAGACAGACAGAGAGAGAGACATAGAGACAGAAAGAGAGAAATCACCCCCCAGGGGGGATGGTCACGCTGCAATCCCTTCTCCTCCATTCTCCTCTCGGGATGTTGGGCACGCATGCACACGTGCCCGGCGTGAGTTTTAAGCCACCGGGTCCGGGACGCGAACCGCGGTCGACTACATGGGAGTCCAGCGACATAGCCATTACACTAACTGCTGGTTCCTCCCAGACACAATGTTTTGACAAGGTCGTACCCTCTAGTCTTGTTCACATTCAAATTACTTCCTTGTACTCAGTACTGTGAATTACTAACTTCCAGACCTCATCTCTGTCACACTTTTAACACTAATTTGACTTTCTCTTTCTAAAGGAGATCACCACTGTGTTTCATCCAAATCTCTTGCTTCTCCTCTCCTCATTTCCAAAGAGATTCTGTAGACTCTCCTGCCCCTTCATCCATACTTGAAGCAGCAACAGGAACTCTGAAATCTGTTTCTTTCTCCACATGCAAAAAAAATTTTGGTATCCTTGGTTTCCTAGTAATGCTTAAAGAGTAATTTCATGAGTAGCTTTCTTGTGTTCCTTGTTGAATTTACAGGTTTTGGGGGAGGACATGGTTAAAGAGGATTTAGCCAGGAACAATGAACCCAGTGCCTACTGGAATTCAGCATATCAGTTCGTTGTTTTTGTTTTGATGACAGAGATGAATGCATGAATATATGTGAATGGGGGGATGGGGGGAGAGAAGGCGAATACAATTGAGTTATCAAAAGTTTTAAATTCTTGCAGTCCAAATTAATGAGGATTTTCTATAATTCAAGTTCTCTAACTTTCGTCTTTGGGTAGTTTTTCTAATCCTTTAATCTCAGAGCATCCTCCATGGATTATATTATAATCATTAGATTGCTAGGGTTGCCATAACTAGTACTACAAAATGGGCAGCTTAAAAAATGGAAATGTATTTTCTCAAAATTCTAGAGGCTAACAGTCCAAACTCAAGGTGTTGGGAGGGTTGGTTCCTTCCAGGAAAGGCTCTGTTCTCTCTACTGTAGATGGCTGTTTTTATGTTCACATTCTCCCTGTAATGGTGTTTGTGTCTAAAGTTCCTTTTTTAATAAGGATATTAGTCATATTAGATTAGGGGCCTATCCTACTCCAGCATGGCCTTGTCTTGAGTAATTACATCTACAATGACACCAAATAAAGTCACATCCTGAAGTACTGGAGGTTAGGACTTCAATATGAATGCTGGGGCAGAGGTATTATTTAACCTATAACAACCATCATTATGAGTTACATCAGCTTCAGTTTCAAACAGAAACAAGTTAATATTATCATTCCTAAATTTACTCCATTGCCCTTGCCAACTCTTGAGTTCACCTGCTTTTATCCATTCACCTTATCCAAACCATCAGCTATTTGAACTTTCTCATTTATTTCTGCTAGAGG